CTGGCTTTGGCTGTGTATTGTGAATCCAGGAATCTCCACCAGTAATTTTTACAGCTGTGTGGATAGTCAGGAGAGCTTGGAATGGTCCTTTCCACTTTTCCTTGAGTGGTTCTTCACTCCAAGTCTGGACATCTCCCCAATCTCCTGGACAGTGAAAGTGTGGTTGAACATCCAAGGTCACTGATGATGCCAAAACAATAAACCTATGCAAGGATGAGAGTGTCCTTTCCCAAAGTTTCCCAAACTCCCTCAAATTGTGATTCCTTACTGTATTTTTCCCCTGAGTATAATTACAGCCTGACATGTGCCAACACTAGGACTGTCAAAGCACTGAATAATCTTCTCAGTTTTTTACACTGTTGCTACTCCACTGCTCAGAATAGAGAAGTGAAGGATACTCTGAGCAAAGTCATCAAGAAATGTGAATAATTCCTAACGCTTAGGGAACTGCAAGTATTCTTTTCCCTAAAAGACAATGAAAGAAAATGTACTTGAGAAAAGCTTCTCATTAAATTTTTAACCCTCAGAGCCTGTGACTAATAATACTTACCCTTGACTTTTTATTATCAAATTGGCTAATCTGAGTGACTTTAACTGCCCAAAGTGAGGATGAGGCACTTTTCTGTGGGAAAGGGTTCTCTCTTTATGTATTGCACTAGTTCCTGCGTGTCCAGTTCAGATTTCATCTCAGCTGTGATTCCCCAAATCAGCTGATTGCAATCCCACTCCTCTGCACAGTGTCCCATTTCACTCTGTGATTCAGGACAGCTGAATCTTTAGATTTATGGAATAATTTTTTAGACAGCTAAACACAGGTCTAAAGATGAATGAATCAAATTCAGAGGAAACAAACCAATCTCTTGTTCAAAATAACTGTATCAACAACATGACTAGAATTGTCTCAGTGGATGTGAATGCTACACAGCTGCAAGTGGGGATAGTTTTTCAAAAATTAAATTATATGTGGTAACTCTTAACTGGTTCCACACTTTAAGACATTTCATATTCATATTTGTTTGTAATTGCCATTTCAGCTGTTTTCAGCCATTTACGTGAACTTCAAAACTTTTCTAGGCCAAACACTGATGGCAGAAGTTAGCACAAGTTCTACAGACATGTAGAACTTACCAGCATCCTCCTTAAGGTTTATCTCACAGAGCAGAGAGGGGTGTGCTGAAGCTCTGATGGAACAAGGACAGGGCCTGGGGTGCTGCATTTAAACCTGCATGTTTGAATGCAGGGCTCGCCCAGAGCAGGGTGCAGGGAGGGAGCTGGGGTGGCTGCTGGGTCCTCAAGAGGTCAGCAGTGTGTGTTGCAGTCACAGTGTTGCAGTGAGTGATGCAGTGACAGTGATGCAGTCACTCTGTTGCAGTCACTGTGTGCTGCAATGAGAGGGTTGCAGTGACAGTGTTGCAGTGACAGCGTTGCAGTCACACTGTTGCAGTCACTCTGTTGCAGTGACAGCGTTGCAGTCACACTGTTGCAGTCACTGTGTGTTGCAGCCACAGTATTGCAGTGACAGTGTTGCAGTGACAGTGTTGCAGTGACAGTGTTGCAGTCACTTTGTTGCAGTGACAGTGATGCAGCCACTGTGCATTGCAGTGACAGTGTTGCAGCGACAGTGTTGCAGCGACACTGTTGCAGTCCCTCTGTTGCAGTCCCTCTGTTGCAGTCACTCTCTTGCAGCCACACTGTTGCAGTGGTAGTTCTGGGTTCACCCCTGTAGCTGACACTGCAGAGCAGGCTGTGCCTCTGCCCAGTGCTTGGCAGAGCAGGTTTGTGTCCATGGCATCTCCTTTGCCCTGCCTGGGGGTGATGCTGACAGAAAGCACCACCTTGGCACTGCCTGGGCCTTGCTCTTTGACTTCTGAGAGGGAACATCGGTGCAGGAGACGTTTGAGGCTTGCTGAGCTGTCTGTAATCAAAGTCTGTGACTCTGTGCTCTAATGAGCCCTGCTGGGAACACTTTGCCCAACTCTCTCACCTCGCACTGGGCTCTGTTAAAGCTCCCAGTAAGTTTGTTCCTGCTCCTGCCTTGTCATTTCCTCAAGGCACCTTGCCTGATTGTGGCACAGCCACCAGGAACTGGGAGGTGGCACCACAGTCCTGCAGGGGCTCATTAAAAAGCTGACAGCCATAATGAGCTCTGTGGTTGTTCCTGTGCTAGAAGCATTGTGTGGTTAATTAGGGAGCTCCCAGCGGTGTTTCAGTGAATACCTACAGCTTAATTTCTGTTTGTCTTTTGTTCTAATTATGTGTGACAGGGAGAATGGAAATGGAAACACTTTAATAGGGAATTAGTCCTGTTTATACCCTGGTGGGAATCAGGCAGAGAGAGGAAAATATCTTTGGGACCAAGCAGGGAGAGACCTGAGTCAAAGTTTGATTCATGTGCTGGCAATAAGACAATTCTCATTCCAGCCTCTTCTCCTGTTACTGCAACCCACAGAAGTGCCAAAGGCTTTGTTTGTAAAGCCTTTCTCTGCTCTAATTAGCACTACCTTTACCTGCTGTACTAATTATACACAGAGACAGAAGCAATATTCATCACCACTGCAAAAGGCTTTCAAGGCCTTTTTTAATGAGTGAAAGAAAAATATCTTAATTAACAAATAATGTCATATGTTTTACTTTGATTCCCCTGTGCTCCAGTTTTCCCAGGACATGAACCCTGAAAAGAACTGGCTCAGTGGGGAGATGGACAGGTGATAGAAATTTTCAGGCACAATTAGAATGAGAAATATTTGAACAATTAATTAGGAAGAACTGAATATCTACCTGGTGATCAAGATGAGTTGTGTCACTCAGATGTTTGTACTGGGGCCTGTTGCAATACTGCAAGGCTAATAAAATAAATTATTCTTTTAAATTAAAAGACAGTAGATAAACCACTTAGTTATTGGAATATATATATAAAGGAGATGATTAGCATCTTAATTATTAGATTAGATATAAGAAAGAAATTTTTGATGATGAGGGTGGCAAAACAATTAAATGGGCTGCCCAGAGAGCTTTGAATGCCCCATCCCTGAAAACATTCAGGGTCAGGCTGGATGGGGCTCTGAGTAACTTTGTCTAGCAGAATGTGTCCCTGTTTATTGCATAGGGGATGAATTAGATGATCCCTTACTACTGAAATTATTCTAGGATGCTGTTTCCAGTAGCTTGAGGGAGGTGATGCTTCCCTTTTACTCAGTACTAATGAGGTGAGACCTGGGGTACTGTGGGTTATGAGCTCCCAGTAAAAGAGGCACACCGTGCTGGAAAGAGTTCAACAAAGTGGCCTGGAGATGATGGAGGGACTGGATGATCTCTCCTACAGGGAATGCCTGGTACAGCTGAGTTTTTACCCTGGAAAGAGCAGGTCGTGGTGGGACATTATCCATGGATGGATATCTCTGAAGGTAGGATAGAAGTGGGAGAAATACAGGTTCATTTCAGAGTGGTGTGGAGTGACAGGACAAGAGGCAGTGGGCACAAACTGGGGCTATGTCTGAGCATCAGCAAACACATTTATCTGTGACGGTGACCAAGCACTGGTACAGCTTGGCCAGGGAGGTTGTGGTGACTCCATGCTCGGAGATATTCCAAAAACAACTGGAACTGGTCCTGAGCAATTGGTGCTTTAGGTGGCCATGCTTGAGTAGGGACATTGGACCAGACAACAACTGAAGGTCCCTTCCCACCTCAACCATTTTGTGTGACTCTAGGGCAGTGTCAGTATGCAGCAAAGTAGAAAACAGCTCCAGTTGATGCTCTGGTGACCATCTGCATGCAAGGTTTCCTGTGCATGACCAGTGGTTTGCAGACAGTGTCTTCAGGGTGGGGAAGGCTACAGTGGTTGCAGCACAAAGGTGGGATGATACCACCAGAGCAAGAAAGGGAACTGGTGGTGAGCAGGGGTGTGGTGTGCAGCACAGTGACCACCATGAGAACAGACCAAGGGCTGCCTTCACACTGCTCTCACACCAGACACAGTTCCAGAGGTGTGACTATGGACCCACCTCGGGTCAATAAAGCTGGTGGTGCTGGACACAGCACCCCACATGTGCCTCACCAGGGCCGAGCAGAAGGGCACGATCCCCTCCTGGACCCTCTGGCCACACTCTTCTTGATGCACCTCAGGATCCTTTTGGCCCTCGTGGCCCCAAGGGCACACTGCCAGCTCATGGTCACCTTGTCACCCACCAAAACCTCCAGGTCCTTCTCTGCAGAGCTCCCCTCTGTTAGGTCAGCCCCCAGCCTGGTACTTGGGGTTATTCCTCCCCCAGTGCAGGACCCCCCACTTGACCTTGTTGAATTTTTTTAGGTTTCTCTCTGCCAAACTCTCCAGCCTGTCAAGGTCCCACTGAAAGACAGAACAGCCTCCAGTTCTGCATCATCAGCAAATTTGCTGGGGGTACATTCTGTGCCTTCTTAGATAAGTGATCAGGATTTTAAAAAGCCTAAGAGAAATGCAACTGTTCCTCACACAAGTGACCAGGCTTGTGACACACAAGTGACCAGCTGCAATGCAGCTTTGGCCTCAGCCATATTTGACATTTTCTATCCCATCACCACAACATAAGGGCACCTCCTGGCCCAATCAGGTCTGAGCAGCTGATCCAGTGGAAGAGTTTCCAGTTCTACCCACAGGCATTTTACAGATGTAAAGAAAATGCCTCATTTGGGGTTCAAGGAGATTGAAGGGGAGACAGGGTGTAAACAGGCTGCCTGCTGTTCAGTCTGTCTAAGCATCTAAGATGGTTTCAGGTTGGTACTAGAAACCCCCCTGATTTCCTGTTGCATTTGAAGATGACTATTTCTGAAAGGTTTTACCTGCTGGTTGGACTGCAAGGGGCTGATGGAGACAAGGGGAGCATTTCGGGACTGAGACCTATCCTGCATGTCCCACCAATGCTCAGGTTCTCCCAGAGTGCCATCTCCTCATTCTCACACTCAGGGTTTCCATCCAGCTCCCAAGAAGGCTACAGACACAAGAGACTTTGAACATGCTTTTATTGATGGCCACAAGCAGAGCTGGAGCGGCAGTGGGAGAAAGGGAGCAATGGGAAGCTGGGTGTACTTGGGAGCTGCATTTGTAGCTTGCCAGGAGACTCAGTGCCAAAGCCTGTGCCTGCACCACAGGGGCTTCTCTGACTCCACTTCAGCTGCCCCTGGGAGCTTCTGAGCACCAGCAGGTGTTGGATGCATCGTGGAGAAGGGGCAATGAGCATTTTATTTAGAGGATGGAGAGCCAGGAATATCTTGGATTGCAAAACTTCTCAGCTGCTCACGGATCCAGGGCTCAAAGTACGAGATCCTGGTGAATACCTCAGGGAAGAGGTCGTCTTCATACCCATGAGAAACAATGCCATGAGCCTTCTTATTGCAGACTAATGGGCCACCAGAATCACCCTGTGCCATGAAAGGAGTGACAGGGGTCAGACATGCCACAGCTCAGCTCTCCCTGCCTTAAGCAGCAAGTTTCCCCTTCCCTCCCTCCACGTGAAGAACCTCCTCTTCCCAAGCACCTCTCTCCCTCCAGACCCAGCTCTCAGTGTTTGTAGCTGCCTCACTACTCCTCTAAGCCCACCTATGAAACAATTCAGGCCTGGAGGCTCTATGAGATTCAAAAACTCAAAATAAGAACATTGACCAACTTTAGACATGGGGAAATATCTAACCCATCTGAGCAATGATATCACAAGGAATTTACACACCAAAGCACTGGTTAGGCTG